TACTTTAACTTAAACCAGTTTTCTTTTTAACGTTTTATTTTTTTATTTTTTATTTTTTTTTAAGAATAACAAAGGACAAATGTCATATCAAAGCGATTCAGAGGACGATTTGTTCGTCCATAGTATGAGTCTAAAAAAAGCACAATCATTAATAGATAACCCTCGTTCTCATCAAGTTATTACTCTTGCAAGTTGTGGTAAAAAAGTTGGTGTCTGCGAAGTTGGAGATCCAGAAGGTTATCCTGTGCTTTGGCTTACAGGTAAATACGTACATATATATTTACAATATGTTATCACATTTTTTTTCAACATTTTATTATACTCTAGGAAACATGGGTCCAGCAATGTCAATCCTTTTATATCATAACCTTGCAAAACGAAATCATATTCGTCTTATTTCAGTAGATAGACCTGGTTACAACGATAGTGATGATATTTATTCACAATGCGGTGTTCCAGACTTATTTGAATTTGCTGATATGATCAATGAATTGACTTTAATATTAAGAATGTGGCAATTTGGCTTGGCCACCTTTTCTCTAGGCGCTGTTTATGGTTTAGCTTATTCAATTAAATTCCCTGAGAGAATTAAAGGACCGATCTTTACGATTAGTCCTTGGGTGTCTACTAGTACACCGGGCCATTTGTTTTATTATAAAGGTTTGTATTAATTATTAATAAATTTTTAGATTGTGTTTATGTAATTAAAATTTTTTACCCTCATTTATTATTATTATTTTTTACTGAAAGGTATTGCAAAATTCGCCCCAAATTTCCTGATCCGTACTACATTGAGCACCCTACCACACATGACCAACTTTTTTAACATGTGGAGCACATTAGGCTCTTCAGCACCATCTCGCATTTCCTCATCTCACCTTAGATCACAATCATCAGCATCATCATCAGTATTAACATCTTCATCCTCAACAATTGATGATGAATCAATGACATCTTCTATCGAAAGTATGATGAGCACAATATCTCCAGGTCGTAGTTATATACATAAAAAGATTTATCAAAACGGATTATGGAATTTACAAAATCGTACTGGTGCACATATTGATGCCATGGTAGCATTAGAAAAAGTAGATTGGAACTATAAATATGAAGATACTAAACATCCGATTCAAGCTTTTGTAGGTGAGGAAGATGATAATGTTCCATTACAAGCCTGGACGTATATGAATAATAGAATGGATAATTTAAAACTGAACGTTGTTAAAGATGGTGGTCATTATTTGTTATATAGAAT